CCAGCAGGACGCCGTGGTTTGAAAAGTCGTGCTTGTAGAGGAGCATAAAGTTGGTGAGGGCGAGGAACACGACGGCCGCGATCAGCAGCGCCTGCCACACGATCGCACCGAGGCCGGCGGCGTAGGTGGCGGCGCAGACGACTCCCACCGAGTACGACATGCAGAGCGTAAAGCCGCCGAGGAGGAGGAGGTTGTGCGGGTGGCGGTGCTGGTAGCAAGAGAGGGCAACGATGAAGCCGAGCGGAGCAAAGATCGCGGCAAGCGTCACCGCGTGGTTCGTGAGCACAAAGTGGCGGGCGTCCGGGTGGAGCATGATGAAGCTTGCAGACGCGGCAGTGACGGCAAGCTGGACCGTCAAGATGGCAAACACCTTGCGCATAAACGCCAGTCGGACGGCCGGCGGCAAATTGGCGCAGGGGTTGGGCGCCCACTCCCCGTCCACTGGCGGCTGTGGCCAGCCTGCCTCCGGGTCGGCCTGATAAGCTTGGTAGGGCGTGGCGCCGCCGTATCCCGGCGGGCCACCGGGCGCGTACGGGGGCTTGGGCTGCTGCTGCGGTTGACCAAACATCGCGCTTGTGGAACGAGGAGTAGCGAGCGATCGCCCTTCTCGTCGCCGTCCAAGCCTGACCCTAAAAAGAATTGTGTAGTGCGGAGAGAGGGAAGCTCGCAGGGGAGGTGACGAGGGAACTGCAGGTAGTGGGGAAGGCAGCTTCGATCGCCATCCAGACATGGGTGCGAAACAACGAATAACACCAAGGCACGGGCAGAGGAGCGAGAGAGAGAAGAACAGGAGTCGCTTAGGCGGCTCCCGTGGTGTACCTGTGTTAGTGCCATGGCCAGCAGCTCGTCGAGGAGGGCGAGGCGAGGCTCGCAGCGGGCGTGCTCGAGCAGGCGCATGCCGTGCTTCTTAACCCCCCTCCTCCATCAACCAAGCCTCTCATTCTCCGTCTCTCCACCAGACCTCTCGCCGGATCACCGTCGAGGCAGACGCTGCCCGCGCCGGACCACCCGCCATCCGGAGAACCAACTCCGGCGCTGTCGTCGATTTGAGCCAGCTCTCGCCGACGCACTGGTCAAACTATTAGCCTCATAATGAGGAAAAGGCTAATAGCGATTTCAAATAGTGCTACTATTAGCTCAGAGGAGCTAATAGCTGAGCTTCATAACGTCTGGAGCTATTAGAACACCACTATGAGATGGGCTAATAGCGACTATTAGGGCGCTATTAGGGCACTATGAGAGCCTAATAGTGGCCCTAATAGTGCCCTAATAGTGCGGTACCCGCGCGACGCGCACTACGCGCGGCGCGGCAAGAGCGATGGCGCCGACTCTCTAGGAGACGGGCTTCCATGAGGCAACCACGGCGAACGAGAAGGTCACCGTGGAGTCGTTGAACTTGACCGTGGTGACGTCAGGCTTGGTGGTGCTCTTCATCACCTTGACGCACCAGCCGCCGGCGGAGACGCCGGGCCACAGCGAGGGCGGCGCGAGCAGGAAGCTGGTCGTGCGGTCCGCACGAGCGCGGGTGTTGCCTGCGCAACAGGGGCACGGGGACGAGCGTCAGCCCGGCAGCTTGCGGCGGCGCGCGCGCGCGGCGACGGTGCGCACGGCTTGGGAGAGCAGGGAGAGAGAGAGATAAGGCCGCTGCCGCCGCAGAACGCAGGATGTGGCTGCGTGCGGGGCGCGGCGGGCGCGGGCGCGCGCTCGGACCTTGCAATTTCAAACTGCGCACGCCCTGATCACGAACAGGATGCGGGCGGCGCAGAGATCTGCTGCCGCCCGGACCGCCGCCCGGGGATGACCCAGGACCTCGCCGGCGCTGCGCCGGCGAGGGGCCGAAGCCCGGCGGTTGATCACGTTCTCCACACCCGCGCGCGCTGTGCGGTCGCCGTTCCGCCTCACATGCCTGCGGACAGCGCCGACGGGTGGTGAGGAGGGCGGAGAGCCGGCGGGCGCGGTGTGCGCGGTCGCCGCGCGCTGGTGGTGTGCGCGCGGTCGCCGCGCGCTGGTGGGCGACAGGTCACCGAGGCGAGCGGGGAGCGAGCGAGGAGCACACCCAGTGTGTGCTGTGCGCGACTCTCAAATCGCCAAGTCAAACAAGAAAAACACATGCAGTCCTCGTCGACAACAAACCCTGCAGTGGTCGGCATCAGCGCGCCGGGCGCCGCAGGGCGTGCTGCGCTTCGAAAAGCCGCCGGCCTTCCTCTCGCATCGTCTCGTCCAGCTGCGCCTTGACCGATGGCAGCGCAAGGCTTCTCGCCGGATCCTCCGCGATCACCGTGGATGGACGCCAAGAAGACCAGCGCTGCGCCGCACGCCGCCAAACCACCACGCTGGCGCCAGCTCGCAGAGGGTTTCTCGCTGCACGCCAGATGGTCAGCGGGCGCCGATGGCGGCATGGGCGCGACGAGCTCCGTGGCCGGCATGTCGCTATGAGGCCCAGCTATTAGGCCGGGGCGCGCCGTGAAGCATGCGGCATGAATCGCGAAATCGCTAAGTGCGCATTATGAGGGTCCATTATTAGGACATCGGCTATTAGCACACCTAATAATTGCACTATTAGCCCCTCTGAGCTAATAGTAGCACTATTTGAAATCGCTATTAGCCTTTTCCTCATTATGAGGCTAATAGTTTGACCAGTGCGGTGCTGCGCGACTTCACGCTGCAGCAGCACTCGGCCGGCGTGGCGGTGGGGGGGCGCGAGTGGTCGGAGAGGAGGGGACTTCCTGCCTCCTCCCCGTCGGAGGCGCAAGTGGGCCTAGATGGAGATAGGGATCACAGAGCGCAGGACGCAGTTGTCGTTCATCATGCGCTCAGTGATTCCACCGCGCCCAAAACCTCACCGGTTACCGCACCTCACCGCCGCCCCAGGAGCCCTCCCTCGCCTCGACGTTTCGCGCGCCCTCCTTCAGCTGGGGCGAGATCTAGCCGAGATCGGCATCTAGTCGATGTGAAGCCGAGACGCAGCCGAGGCATAGCCGAGATCGCCCTCGTGCTCTTGTCTCCACACGCCTCTCCGCACGCATCCCTCCGCCGCCGTGAGCAGGCGCGCCGCGGGCACTAACGACGAGGGCCCCTCCAACGCCGCCACGGTCTCGCTGCTCTCTTGCCACGAGCGGCGCACACCTACCGGTGCCCGCCGTTCCCCTGAGCCTTCTCGGAGCCTCCCTGCAGGCGAGACACCCCCCTCGATGTCGCGCACCGGCTCGCACTGCTCCGCCGCCGAGGGAATCTCGAGAGAGAGGCCGCAGGCCGCAGCTCCCCGACGAGGGTCCATGTGAAGAACTGACTTTGTTTGCCGAAAAATAGAAAAACGGACTTCCATCAGCACTTGCGAACAGAACAGGCGACTCCACGCTCCTCACCCCCAGCGCGTCGTGTAGCCTTCCGCGCTCCTCGTCATCACACTCCGCGCTCCTCGTCCATGGGAAAGCGTAAGCTCGACAGCAAGCATCCCATCACCTGCATCGTCAGCGGTCTTTACGCTGGCGGCAAGCTCGCGGTCGCTCGAGCCCTCCTCAAGGAGCTCAGGTCTGCGACAGTGCTGGTCGGCGATCCAGCGGCGAAGCGGGCTCTGTCAACGAAGGAGGTGATCGAGTACAACGGGGAGACGCCGAAGCTGCCGCACGGTCTCGGCAACGTCGTCGTCCTCGCGCACGACCTGGCGCAGCCCTCGCGCATCGCGGCGGCGACGACGAGCGGCGGCCGCGCCGCACCCAAGCTGCTGTGTGTGATCGATGCGAGGAGCTTCCTCGACGAGTGGGAATCGGTTGACGCGCTGCCGGAGAAGGTGCGCGAGGCTGGCAAGAAGGACCTCCGCGCCCACCTCTCGGACAAGAAGCCGTGCGAAATTCTGGCGGAGTGTGTCGAGAGCGCCGATGTGATTGCGCTCAGCCACTCCGAGGCTGCAGACGCGGACGAGCTGGAGATGCTCGAGGCGAGAATAGCCGAAATGAGCCGAGATTGGCCGAGGTTAGTCTGCAGACACGTGCTGGATGCTCGAGGCGATATGCAGCCGAGATGCAGCCGAGAGGCGGCCGAGAGACCGCCGAGAGACAGCCGAGACGCAGCCGACACGGAGCCGATCTCCCAGCCGAGACGTGTACAGCCGAGACACCTCGCAGCCGAGATCAGCCGAGATTGGCCGAGGTTAGGCGATGCTGCGCGAGCTCAACCCGTGTGCGGCCGTCGTGCGGCGCAGCGGGGCCGGCGGCGGGGGGAGGGCCGCCGAGGGCAGCACCGCCGGAGAGGACGCCGAAGGGCGCCTGCTGCAGGCGCTCGAGCGCGGCGGAGGGGCGGAGGCGACGGCGCACGTGGAGAAGAATGGCTGCTGGCAGGCGGTGGTGGCGGCGCGGAGGGAGGAGGAGGGGGGAGAGGGGGCGGCTGGCGAAGGCGGAGAGGAGGAGGGCGAGGAGGAGAGCGGCGAGGAGGGCAGC